TCAGAAGACAAAGAAGATCAATCCCTAGAAGACACAATCCAAAACGCAACAGCAACACATTGCAGCCAAACTGCAAAAAAAAAAAATCAAAACAAATGTTTCAATATACCAAACTGCAAAAGAAACAAGCTCAATCGTATACTCAAATAAAGTTACAAAAGATTCATAGAAATAATAAACATATGATATGAAAAAAAGATTATAAAAAAGTACCATCCACGTAAAAATCCACCACTGCCTTTGCTCTGCGACTGATGAGGCTGCACAGTTTCAGGAGAGTCCTCCTTCGTCATCACCGGATAACCCATCGGTGGTGGTGCGGTCACGTACGTCGCCTCTGTCTTCATTTCTGCATAAAAATTGGTCCGATTAATTAAATAATATACTGCACAACTAACCATAACATATATATCAAATGAGACTTGTAATATATATATGTATAAGAATGACTCACCGTGTTGCTGAGCCATCTATAATGGAGTTAGAGAGAGCTGAAGATGAATGAATGTTTTGGAATTGGTAATGATTTGGAAAGGCTTCAAGTCTCTCTATATTTATACATTTCTGTGATTTGCTTATCCTTTAAGTTTAAGACATTATTAATCAGAAGGTAGATGGCCTGTTCGTGGAAACTTCTGGTTTCTCACCGACCAACGATGACAGAACGCGTTTCAAATTAAAACGCCGGTTCTGGTCGTCTCCGAAGTTTCTAGGTCAAACTTGGGCCTTATTATATCCAAATCAAAAATGAGAATATAGAGAGACTAATGGCTTTGTTATGGTTTCTAGATTACCAAATGCTTCTGCTCAAATTGATTATTCAGTCTCTCTTATTCTTTTCAAAATAAATCTTATCAAGGTCAATTGGATATTATTATTTTTATTTTTTTTGAAAAAAGGTCAATGGAATATTGCTCAGTTTCATTGAAGAAAAAAAGGAATTTCTCATATAACAACAATCAAACACTAAAACCATCGAAAATTCATATGCTAAACATCACAGACTACCCAAGAGACCTGAATATTTGGATTCTCTACACTACAGTCGACTTCACCTGCAAGTAACCTAATTGCAAATGCATCTACTAAAACACACAGATTTTCTCTTTACTAATTCAACCAGTATTCTTGATATAACAGTCGACTTCAACATTCCTACAATAACAGAATCACAATCTCTTTATATTCACTGGCACCTAATTGCAATGTCCACCTGCTAAACATGACAAACTTTCCCTACTACATAATTCAATCAAAATCCAGAGACCCTTCATCATTCCATAACAACAAAATCACACTATCACAACGTATTCCCTACACCAGAACGTAACCATAACAGATTGGCCTGGATACAAACATCTCATGCAACCATAGAGTAAAATTGTGCAAAGACTAAAATAAAAAGCAAAATTGTGCAAACAGATGGATAACAAAATAAGTTCTCAACATTCAGAGGTGATGGCGAGCGATATCCATAAACACCAAATAGTAAACAGAAAGAAAAACAGACAAAAATAAGATAGAGAGAGAGTCTAGTTTTCCAGCAAATGTAACCAAGAGTAAGAGACTTAGTGATCAAGCTTACAGCTTGTCTTCGAACTCAGACAACGGAGTCATCTGTTCCTTCAAACCCTTCCTCTTCCTAATGTCGGCAACAAGAACCGAAGCTTGAGTACCTGGCTCAAGAGGGTCCGAAGACATCATCTCCCAGTGATCAAACACGCACTGCGGAAAGGCCTGTCCTGATGTCGCAGCCCTAAGCTGACTCGAGAAACCAAAGGATTCCACGACGGGCAGGTAAGCCTTGATGTTGTACAAGGGTGTTCCTGGCCTCTGCATCTCCTCAAAGACGTGTCCACGCTTCTGATTCAGCACGCTGTAAATTCCTCCAAGAGCTCCTTCCGGAGCTTGGATCTCCACCATGTAGATTGGCTCCATGAGTCTAGGCTTGGCGGTGATCTGGGAGGCGTAGATGACCCTTCTAGCAGTGGGGATGACCTGACCACCACCTCTGTGAATAGCATCAGAGTGGAGAACCACATCACAAACCTCAAAGCAGATACCTCTCATGTTCTCTTCTCCTAGAGGACCTTCCTTGGACGCCCATTGGAAACCAGCAACAACAGAATCCTTGATTTCATTCAAGTACTGAACTCCCTTACACATGTCAACCACCATGTTAGGCCCTGTGGTTTCAGGTCCAAACGCCCAGATCTTCTTCGCTAGGTCCTTGTCCCATCCGAATTCCTCTGCCAAGATCTTGGACCTGATTTTGGGGTCATCTCTTGGGCCAATACGGCCGTCATCAATAGCCTCTGCTAGACCTTCCTCCAAGGGCCTGGCCTCCATGTACAAACGGTTATGCTTGTTAGGGGATTTGCTCATGACGGTACGGATAGATCGCTCAAGGACAGTCTCACGGAATGAGACAACAGGGTCAGACTTGATGATCTCAGCACCACCCATGAAATCATCCTGAAGATCCTTCAAACAAATCTCAAGATGTAACTCTCCCGCACCAGCAACAATGTGCTCACCTGATTCTTCCATTGTGCACACAACCATAGGGTCTGATTTGGCCAGCCTCTTAAGACCCTCAACCAGCTTGGGAAGATCAGATGCGACCTTGCACTGAACAGCAACACGCACAACAGGTGACACAGAGAACTTCATCGCTCGAATAGGATGGGCATCAACTTCTTTCTCGTTCGTCAACGTTGCGTTCTTGGTGATGTACTGATCCAATCCAACCATAGCGACTGTGTTACCACAGGGAACATCTTCAACTGTCTCCTGCCTCTTTCCCATCCAGATGACGGTTCTCTGAACACTCTTCACATACAGATCCTTCTTCTCACCGGGGACAAAGTTGGGACCCATGATCCTCACCTTCATACCAGTGGACACCTTACCAGCAAACACACGACCAAAAGCAAAGAATCTTCCCTTGTCAGAGGCTGGAATCATCTTGGAAACGTAGAGCATGAGAGGGCCATTAGGATCACAGTTCCTGATGGCATTGGCATACTGATCATCAAGGGGACCTTCATACAGATTCTCGACACGGTACCTCTGGGCAGTGTGGGGAGATGGCAGGTGAAATATCATCATCTCAAGTAGCGCGGTACTTGCAGGCAGCCAGGTCTGCATAACACGCTTCATCAGAGGCTTACCCATCAGTTCCTTCTCATCATTCTTCATCTGAACTCCAAGCTTTGCCAACATAGGCCATAACTTGTCCTTCTGGTCATTCATGCAAGTGGCAATAATCTGCTTGATGGGCTCATAACAGAACTGGACGAAACCACGCTTACAGGTTGCTGAACCAGTGTTCTTGCTGCTCCACTTCCTAGTAGCCGGGTCAAAGAAGTTCTCACCCCACAGCCTCTCCATCATCTTAGTTTCATCAACACCAAACTTAGAAGCATACATCTTAGCAAAGTTGGTCAGCGTAAACGCCCATCCGTGGAGACCAGCAGAGAATGCAACAGTTCCCTTTTCTGGGTAGACCTGAACATCACCAAGAAGAGGGTCCTCGTATGTGGCCATAATGACGTTAGCATTCTCGATAACCCTCTGGAATGTCTGGTAAGCCTCCTCACCATCAACCTGAAGCTCAAGGAAACACCTGTCCATCTTGTTGACAGTCAAGACTGGCCTAATCCTTTCTCCAAGGGCCTGACGCAACACTGTCTCAGTCTGGACGCAGACACCCTCAATACAGTCCACCACCACAAGGGCACCATCAGTAATACGCAACGCAGCAGTAACCTCAGAGGAAAAGTCAACGTGCCCAGGGGAGTCAATCAGATTGATAAGATACTCGTTACCGTCTCTGGCCCCGGTGAAGCTCTTCAAGGAGGCATCGGTCATCTCGTAGTAGAGAGAAATACCGGTGGACTTAATCGTGATACCACGTTCTGCCTCATCAGCACGAGTATCAGTCATACGAACATCCCCAGCAACCTCTTGGGCAATAATACCAGCAGCAGCAACCAGAGAGTCAGTGAGGGTTGATTTCCCTGTTGATCAAGAATACAAAATATGCATTAGTTTAAATTTAAATAAAGCACACGACCAAATAGAAGATAAAAGACTAGGCAAATATATCACAGAAAGAGTGAAAGCTTTGATTACACTTTTCAGAACAGATTACAGTTTCAATTTTCACAACAGATTAGAATTATCAAAACAATATTTCAGAACAGAAGAATTATAAATTCAAATTTCAGATCAGATTGCAATTATAAAAAAAATTCAAAACAGATTACACATTCAATTTTAAGAACAGACTAGAATTATCAAAACAAATTTCAGAACAGATTAGAAGTATCAAAAGACATTTCAGAACAGATAACACATTGAATTTTATGAACAGATTATAATTATCAAAACAAATTTCAGAACAGATTAGAAGTATCAAAAGACATTTCAGAACAGATAACACATTGAATTTTATGAACAGATTATAATTATCAAAACAAATTTCAGAACAGATTAGAAGTATCAAAAGACATTTCAGAACAGATAACACATTGAATTTTATGAACAGATTATAATTATCAAAACAAATTTCAGAACAGATTATAGTTATAAAATATAAGATCAACTATTTATAACATGCTTTTTTCAGAACCGATGAGACTAATAAAAACGGAACAGATTACATATTCACTATTCAGAACAGATTAGAAATTCAATTTTCAAAACAGATTAGAATCATAATTTCAAATTTCAGAACAGGTTAGAAGTATAAAACATAAAGAGCTGAGAGATATCAATTATTTCTACCATGCTTTTTCGGAACTGATTAGAGTAATACATAAGAAAGAAAGAGCTAAAGATAGTACCATGGTCGACATGGGCAATAACAGACATATTACGGATATTGTGTTTGTAGTCCATAATCCTACGAAGCTCATCGGCTGTGAACTTCACCTGCGAGTTCATAAGAAAATGTATTTAGCTTCGAACAAGACAGGAAGTAGCCAAATAAAAGTAACACATAAAGAAATAAGGAAGCTTACCATCTTGACAAGCTTTTGATTGTTAAATCCAAAATATCTGCAAACACAGAAACAATAGTTAGGAAAATTGATTAAAATATCTTATTTCTAAATAAAGAGTTCTACTGTACTTGCAACAAAACACAAACTGAGTATATAAACAAGGAAGCAAGAATGAAGCCTAATTACAATAAGATATAACCCAAAAAAAAAGTAACGCTAATCACTTTTACTTAATGTATGATAAAGTCAGAAACATACAAATACAGATACAAACCAGTAACCTATAATCGAGAATAATTTCTAAGAAAGCTCTTCGATGGATCAAAGTTTCATCTTTCAAGGATTTATAAAGACCAGATCTATGAAAACAATCAGCACCATCGACAACGTGAATCAACGGATTGTAAGAAGAACAATAATCAAAGCATAGATCAATCACAAAACAGAACGAATTGCTCACCTAAACCTAAAGAGAAACGGAACAAAAGCAGCTCTCTAACCTACGCGAAACGAAAACAGGAACAAATCAACAATCGGAGACAATCAGAGAAACGAAAATCGATCTGCGAGAGAGACAGAGACGAACCTTAGAAACGAGAAAGGAAGAGAGC